AGGAGCTATGAGGAGGAGGTGCTGTTGCATTGTGGGAAATTGCAGTCAATGTCATGAGACAAAGTGTATGTGAACTGCTGTATAGAAGATGAATTTGCTCTGTAAACTTTTACCCAAATCATTTTAATAAAATTAAAAAAAACATCAAACACAGTCTCAAGGACCTGTAGGATAATATTAAAAGGTATAATATTCATGTCATTAGAATCCTAAGGAAGAGAGGAAAGAGATTGGTGTAGAAAAAGTGTTTGAAGAAATAATGGTTGAGCTTGTGAGCAGCCATCTAAGGTGCATCTATTGGTTTCTCCTTGTCCGGAGCAAAGAAGAGTGAAGAAAATCAAAGATACAAGGAAACAATCCAAAGGACTAAGGGCCTATTTGAGCCCCAACCTCCATGATCCTGAGACTAGAAGAACTAGATTGTGTCCAGCTGCCACTGCCAACTGCTCTGAAAGGGATCACAATAGGTGGTCCAAGATAGAGTGGGAGAAAAATATGAAACAAAACTCAAAAAAAAAAAAAAAAGAGTAGGGCTTGCTGCTCTGATAAGACTGGTGGAACCACTGAGATTATGGCCCTTAGACATCCTTCAAGCCTGGAACTGAAGTCACCCTTGTGGCTCAACTTTCAGTCAAACAATAGACAGGTGTACAAGGTGAACAATAACACTAGAGAGGTATGCACTCCTTAGAACAATTATATGAGATCAAAAGGGTAGCATTTACCAGGGATGAAGCTCAGAATGCAGGAAGGGATAGAAAAGAAGGACAAATGGAAACAGTAAACGCAGGAAGGAAGGAGGAAGAGTGCTGTTATATGTAGAGACTGCAATCAACGTCATGAATTAAAATGTGTATGAATTGAATGGAAAACCAATCTGCTCTGTAAACTTTCACCCAAATCACAATAAAAATTAAAAATAAATAAAATGAAAGATTGATTTAAAAAAAAAAAGGAAGTGTGGTAATTCAGTTTGTGTGTCAACGTAGCTGGGCCTGGTTGAGTGGCTGGGAGGCTGGATGTATTATTACCCATGATGAAACTGGCAGTCAACTCCATGGCGGAATCTACTGTGAACAGCTGAGTAGCTGTCTTAGGGAATGTGGTCTGCTTCCTGTATATAAGCAGAAGCCTTGGGGAATGATCTCTAGCTTATGGCACGCTTGGACCCTGCATGTAGCCATGTCATTGTTCAGCAGCCTGCCATGCTCTGCCGACCTTGGGACTTAAATTAATGGACCTAAATTAATGGCCTGCTGTGTGGTTTGGTAACATCAGGACTGTGCCTTTTTTACTTGTCAACATTGGGTTTCTCAGCCTCAGCAGCCAGCAGCTATCTGAGTGAAGAAACACCTCTAGCTCCAGTGGGCCAGAGCAGGAGGCATAGCTGAACCCCAAGGTTGAGGGGCTTTCACCCAGCCCTAGAGCCTGGCACTTTGAACTTGGACTTAAAGCCTCCAACCTGTAAGAGAATAAACTCCTGTTTGTTAAGGCCATCGGCATTTGCTGTATGTTCTTGTCAGAGTGGCACTAGGTAACCAGAACAGGAAGTAACTAAGTATGCAAAAGAAGATAGATTGAAAAAAAAATCTCATTAATAGGTTGGCAGTTCAAACCCACCAGCCACTCTACAGAAGGAAGAATGGGTATCTACCACCTTGGAAACCCAAAGGGAGTCACTAACTCGATGGCAGTGAGTTTGGTTGTTTTTTGTTTATTTGTTTGTTCTCATTAATAAGACACAATATTCCAACTATGAAACAAGTACATAATACTACTTAAAAAAAATCAGAATAATCTTGAGCTCTAAGAAAACCTTAATAGAAGGGTGGGAAACCTCCCAAAAAAAGGAAAAAGATAGAAAATAGAATATGCAAAGAAAATTAGAAAACTAGACAAAGGAGTTCAATATTTCAAAAACAAAAGTTCCAGAGAGAATGGGAGGAAAAAAAATAGAAAAGAAGAAATTAGTTTTAAAAAATAAAATTTTCCCAGAATGAAAAAGATGTATTCACCAATTGAGTGAGCACCCTGAGTGCCCAACCAAATGGGTGAAAATAGACTGACCCCAGGACACATCAATTGTGATATTTCTCAACAATGAGGAAAAGAGAAAATCCTACACTTTTGGAAAGGAAAAAAGATCATATAAAAACAGGAATCCTAACATTAACAGTTAACATCAACATTAGCACTGGAAGTTAGAAGGTAATAGAAAAATTCCTCCAAAATTCTGAATGAAATTTTTTTCCAACCTAGAATGCTACCCAGCTCAGCTTTTGATCAAGTTTACAAGTAGAATAAGCACATTTCAGATAAGCGAGTCTCAAATGATTTCTTTCCCGTGCCATGTACCTTTTCAGAAATGGTTGGAAAATGCGTTGGACCACAAAAAGGAAAGTAATCATAACGCCTTAGCCTCTTAGTGCTGCTGTAACAGAAATACCACAACTGGATGGTTTTAACGAAAAGAAACTACTTCTGTAGTGATACTGCCTTGGCAACCCAAGGAGGGGTCGCTATGAGTTGGGTCCGACTCGACGGCACATAACAACAAGAGGCTAGATAATCAAATTAAGGGCATCAGCTCTAGGGGAAAAGCTCATTCTCTGTCATCTCTAGAGGAAGATCATTTTCAGTTCCTGTAGATTTGGCTTTCCTTGATTGGCAATCTCCATGTAGCGTGTCATCTTCCCCAGCCTTGGTGTTTGTGTCTCCCTGTGCCTAATCTGCTCTTTTTATAACTCAAAAGCAATTAAGTCTAAGACATACTCTACACTGAAATGGGCTCATTAACATAACAAAGCAAGCTCTACTCTCAAATGAGATCACACCCATAGGTATTCGGGTTAAGATTCCAAAACATTTTTGGAGGACACAATTTAATCCTTAACACATAGTTTACTAGATGGCTCAATTATAAATAGTATCTACATAGGTGTAACAATGTTAACAGTAAATATTGATTAAGTACAATTCTGTTAGAAAGACAAAACCAAAAACCAAACTCACTGCCATTGAGTGGATTCTGACTCATAGCAACCTCCTTTGGGTTTCCAAGGCAGTAAAGCTTTACAGAAGTAGATTGCCCAGTCTTCCTTCTGCAGAGTGACTGGTGGGTTTGAACCGCTAACCTGGTTAGAACAGGGGATGGCAAAAAGGGTATGTGCAGGGACAGGAGGAAAAAGACTAAAATCTCATCTTCCATAGTAGGATGTCAAGAGATACTAACTGAAACTGAAAAACTGAGAAACAGCTACCCAAAGAATACCATTTAGAGTCAAAGAAATAAATACCAAAATATTCAGCTAAAATACATTAAACTACTATATTAATCTGTCACCTGGGATGAAAATTAGGGTTGGAGTGGGAGGATGGGGAACTATTGTTTTTTTAGTAACAAACCTTGTTACTAAATTAGTAAAGCTAATTGACTTTTTAAATCATGAAGATGCATAATTTTGACAAAAAAGTTTAAAAACAAGTTAAAAATCTTTTTTTAATTTTAAGTTTTTTCAAAAGTTTAAAAAAAAATTAAGGTAGCAGTACCTTGACATGGCTACCAAATCCTAGGGCTCTGTCCTTAGCATTTAGTTGTTGTCATGCATCTAAAGTGCTCTGGAGGGAGTGACTTACGGCAATCAAACTCACCAGAAACTGCTGTTAAAAACCAGAATGACAATTTACTAATTTATTATGTAAAAATAGAACTGCCAGTTTGACCAAATTCTTGTTAATTACATCAAGAATGATGTCCAGTATATAAAAGGTATTCAATTAATATTTGTAGAATACCTGTTATACTCGTTATCACATTCTCTTCTTGCAGGCAAATCTATATAGTGGGAAAATATTGCTATCAAAAAGTTGCTTGGTAAGCACAGAGCCAGGTTAAGGAGTCAGTTGAATGACCTAGTGGTTGTCATGGAAACTATTGCTTCCATTTCTACTAGAGGAATGGACTAATCCAGTCTGTTTACTCCTCTCTTCATGGGTTAAGAAGCCTTATGGATAGGGCTGGGACGGCTGCTCCCTTCTCTGCTTCCTTTTCTTCTAATCTGCTTACTTACCCCTTTCCATAGGGCTACACTCAGTCTGGGGACCATTCTCTCTATTTAATGGTGGTTAATTTCATTAAATGTGGTAATGGCATGGTAATAATATATTCTTCAATATCCTTGTTAATTAGAGGTGCATATTGAAGTATTTATGAATGAAATGATATGATATCCAGGTTTGGCTTTAAAATATTCCAGAAAAAAAAAGTAGAGGTTGAGAAAGAAATAGAGGAAACAAGATTTGGCAAAATGTTAGTAATTATGAAAGCTAGTTGTTGAGTGCATGAACCCATTATTCTATTGTCCTTACTTTTGTGTACATTTGAAATTTTTCACAGCAAATATAATAAATAAAATTAATAAATAGCCTCCTTAGAGATGGTTTTTAAATTATTTTACAGTAGAATTCCTCCTTCTTTAATGTTATTACTGTTGTTATTGTTTTGTTTTCTAGAAATATATTCTACTTACAAAAGAAAACTGAACCTGTGGTTGATGTTCAAAATAACAGAGACATATATTGGCTAAGGAGATGATTTTAGTTAGCTTTTTGCATCTCTAAGAATCCTAAAATGCTACCAAACCAAAACCAAACTCACTGCCATTGAGTCTATTCTGACTCATAGTGACCCCCATTGGGTTTCCAAGGCTTTACAGAAGCAGACCATCCCATCTTTCTTCTACAGATCAGCTGATGGATTTGAACCACTGACCTTTTGGTTAGTAGCCAAATGCCTTAACCCCTACACCACCAGAGCTCTTTTAAAGTGCTACAGGAGGAAAAAAATGGGCTTTCTGAATAGTATTATAATTAGAAATATAGGAAAGTAAGATTCCTAATATTACTGACTGCTTCAACAAAATTTTGCACATCACCAGATAAAATGACACCCAGCTAATGCATGCATCTTTATAAAATGCTCTTTCCTTTTTATTTTCCAGAGGCCGTTTCTCGATAGTAAAGAAGTGCATTCACAAAGCTACCCGCAAAGATGTTGCTGTGAAATTTGTTAGCAAAAAAATGAAGAAGAAAGAACAGGCTGCCCATGAGGCTGCCCTCCTCCAGCACCTGCAGCACCCACAGTATATCACTCTCCATGACACCTATGAGTCTCCCACATCCTACATCCTGATTTTGGAACTGTGAGTACAGGACCCATCTCTCTAAGGTGGTCCCCAGCTGTTGGGGTCATTTATTGTCCCCAATTAATGGAAAGGACACCTACAAGTTACACAGTGTTTTATAGTTTAGTTTATACAGTTCTGTATGTAGCATGCACACTCTCTCCCTCATTTTATATAAATGCTCTTCCCATTTTATAGATAAGAAATGCAAGGTTAAGGAAGGTGAAATAAATAGCTCCTTAAAACTAGTAAGTGGAGAAGCTGCAACTTGGACCCATATCTCTTTCACTCCAATTTCCTTTTTTCTATTATGGACTCTTGAACTGTGTAGGAAGTTAGGAAAAGATATTGACAGAGGTAGAGTGGAAATGCTAAGAAAGAAATGCACACATTTGGGAGAATTGCTGTGAGATAGAAAGGCGCTTGGTTGAACTTGAGGTTCAGGGAAGATTTATGGATGAGGCTGTGCCTGACCTAATCCTGTGCTGAATCCTGGTTATGCTGTGAGCTTGGGAGGCCATTGCTTTGTGGTGACTGAGATTCTGATTCACTAGCCTGGGAGGGAGCTTGGGTATCTGCATTATCCAGAAGCTCTTTGGGTGAACTTGGCAGCTGAGACTTGCTGGTCTAGGAGCAGAGCTACTGTTAATTACTCCCTTGAGCATTCCAAGAAGTTCAGGGGGATGGATCCAACTAGGCCAAACCTACTCTACTCTACTCTTACCACTCCTACTTCACCCCTAGGTGGGTCAGAGAAAAGAAAAAGAAGGCCTTCATAGGTCCTTTGCTCCTGTCAAGGAAAGTAGGAGAAGAGACCAGTGGGAAGGAATGAGCTAGAAAAGAGAGAGAAGACTTCACAAAAGACCTATACAAAGGGATCTTCCAGCAAGATGACAAAATAGGCAGACAAGCTACATAGACCCTCTTCAATAAAGAAAAGAGAAACCAGTTGACATAGATACTGAAGATTATCCTGTAGCCCTGAGCTTTGAAAGGAAGGATAAAGAAGTGGTTTAAATACCAACTAGTAGAAGAACCTGAATGAAAACAGAGAATAAGGACACTAATGGAACTGCAGACTATCGGCTATCCTGATGGCACGGCCAGTTGGAATATTTACAAGTGGCCTTAGGATCTGGTCAATAACCTAACACTTGGCCCTGCTCACTAAGGACTGCATGGACAACTGTACTGGTGGCTCATAATGAGAAAGAAAAATAACAAATAAGGAGACAATAAGGAGCTATGGACTTTTGGCTGTCCTGAGGGCCCAACCATTTTGAATATTTGCAAGCAGTCTGGCCATTTTGGATATTTGTAAGCTGCAATGTTCTTATACCAGTGACCTAAAAATAGGCTCCATTTGCTGAGGACAGCACAGGTAACTGCACTGGAGGCTGACTATAGAAAAGATGCAATATTCCTCTTGTTACTCTAATACCCCATACCCTCTTGGTGAACAGAGGTGTGGCCATCCCCCATCTCCACCCACCTTCTGGATCAGCAAGAATTCCATCCCAGTCTGTGTGTCCTGATGGAGCTTGGGTACCTGCCCCGTACATCCCATTTGGGTTTTGTTTGTTTGATTTAAAATTGTTTTTTTATTTCTTTGGCCCATTTTGTCTTTTGTCTTTTTAAAGTATTTCTTTAAATATTCCTTCTCATTTAATGCATTTCCTTTGTCTGTGTGTGTGTGTTTATGTGTGCGCGTGCAATTGTTCTGGTTTGTTTATGTGGTTTGTGTCTTTTGTCCCCTTGTTTTTATTTTTTTGGAGTTTTTTATTGTTGTTGTTGTAGTCGTTGTCATCTAAGTGGGAGACAGCAACCATGTCAATACAACCCAATCACACCCACACCTCCTGCAGCTTCACCTACTGAGTGAGGGCCACCACATATTTCTGCACCAACTGACCATCGATACATGACAGTCAATACCAGCTCAACTCACTCTTAACTTCACTTCATGAGCTAACACAGATCTGTGCATACACTCTCATTCTCTATCATCCCCACCAGGAGACAGGTGGTGAGTGCTTAAGTGTGGTCAGCTAGGAATAGAGAAGCATAGTACCCTGCTTACTCAGATATATCAAACAAAACAAAGGAAAAAAAATCATAGGTGAATGACACCAATATACAATCACCAATTAAATATAAATACAACAACACATCACAATATCTCTGAGACAACAGACTATAATAGCCCACACAAAGAAGCAAGATAAAGCAGTAGAAACAAGGGACCAGGATATAGACCCAGAAAATATCCCTATGGAAGAAACAGTATTTGAACTCCCTGATACAAATTCAAAAGAATTATTTTTAGGTACCTTCAACAGATTGAGAGACAGATCAAAGCAAACACTGACAAAATTAAGGAAAACACAGACAAAACTCTAAAAATATTTAGGGAAACAACACAAGAACCAAATGACAAAATACACAAAAAATTAGAAGTGATACAAAATCTACAAATAGAAATCCAGAAGATGAATACTAAAGTTTTGGAAATATAGAATATAAATCAATTAGTGAGATTGAAGACAAATACCTCAATACTACTTTGTTAAGGAATCAATCAGAAAAAAAAAAGATCAAAGCAAAATGAAGAAAGCCTAAGATTCATGTGGGTACCATCAAGAGGAATAACCTATGTGTAACTGGAATTCCAGAACAGGAAGAGACAAATAAAACTACAGAGAAAATTGTCAAAGATTTGTTGGAAGAGAATTTCCCTAATAGGATGAAAGATGAGAATATATGCAATCAAGTTCAACGAACCCCAAACATGGTAGACCCCAAAAGAAAATCATCAAGAAATATCATCATCAAACTCACCAAAACCAAAGACAGGAAAGAATCCTGAAAGCAGCATGGAAAAAAACAAAAAGTTGCTTACAAAAGGCAAGCACGAAGACAAACCTCTGATTTCTCAGAAGAAACCATGCAGGTGACAAGGCAATGGGATGATATATATAAAACACTGAAAGAAAAAAAATCTCCAACCAGGAATTATCTACCCAGCAAATTGTCCCTCAAATATGATAGTGAAATTAGGACATTTCCAGACAAGCAGAAATTAAGGGGATTTGTTAAAACCAGCCCAACCTTCCAAGAGATTCTAAAGGGAGTCCTTCAGACAGAGAACCAACAACAACAAACAATGACCAACAATTAACACACATGATGATACAACCCAGAAATCAACCCAGTTATAGAAGTATCCAAACTAAAATAACCTTACAAGACTGTAAACAGGGAACCAGAGACATCAATTGGTAAATGAGAACAAGTACAAGCCAAAAGGAGGGGAAAAAATAGTTTAGTTACAGAACTTTAAATGGTGAGGAAATCAAGACAATTGCAAGAGAGAACAAACTGTTCTAAACTATTATATATCACAGGATAACCTCAAAGAAAAATAATAAACCTTTGCATCAAAATAAAAAAGGATGAGCATAGATGTTTAGCAAATACAAAAACAATAACAGCTAAGGAAATGATAACATAATTCATAAATAAAAATGAGCTCAGCACAGGAAATTACATGGAACAAAGAAATAAGCAACACCATGAAAAAACACATAACAAAATGACAGCAACAAATTCATACTTGTCAATAATTACACTGAATGTAAATGGATTACATGCACCACTCGAGACGGAGAGTTACAGACTGGATAAGAAAATATAACCTGTCAATGTGCTGTCTAACAAGAGACATACCTTAGAGACAAAGACAAAACTTGACTAAAAATCAAAGGTTGGGTAATGACATATCAAGCAAATGGCAATCAAAAAAGTGCAGGAGGGGCAATATTAATTTCTGATAAAATTGACTTTAAGATAAAAACCACCATAAGAGACAAGAAAGGACATTATGTAATGATTAAAGGATCGATGGAACAAGAGAACATAACCATAATAAATATCTATGCACCCAGCAAAAGCACCCCAAAATACATAAATCAGACTTTAACAGAATTGAAACGACAGATGACTCCACAGTCATAGAAGGAGACTTTAATAAACCAATTTCAATGAAAGGTAGAACTAGAAAGAAACTCAACAGACTCAGAAGAACTAAACAATTCAATCTACCCACTTGACCTTATAGACATCTACAGAGCACTTCATCCAACAACAGCACAATGTACATTCTTTTCCAGTGCACATGCAACATTCTCCAGGATAGACCATGTGTTAGGCCACAAAGCAAGCCTGAATAAATTTAAAAACATTGAAATACTGCAAAGCATTTTCTCAGATCACAATGCTATAAAATTAGAAATCAACAATAGAAAGATGAACAAAAAAGAGCAAACACATGGAAACTGAATAATACCCTCCTTAAAAATTACTGGATAGAGTTCCGGCAAGATGGCGGACTAGGCAGAAGGATTGCACAGACCCTCTTCAACAAAGAAAAGGGAAACCAATTAACACAGACACAGAAG